TCAACCAGTAAAGTTTCTCCCTTTGAAGTCAAAATGCTTTTTCCAGAAAAAAACTAAACTGGGCAACTGAAAACTTGACAAGAAGTTTAATGAAATCAAGATGTGAAGCAGATCTTGAAGTATCTTAGTTCAACTATGCATTCTCGATTCAACTGTTACTAGTTGGTTTCTAAATATAATTATGTGTTCTAATTATAAATTCTTTATCGTTAAAAAAAAAAAGTATGATGATTGATGCACTTACAGGTTTCAACCAATAATTTGTATATATTCATTTACTTTTATTTTTTTTTATACTTGGAATCTATATTTTAGTTATGTGTGTGTGTGTGTGTGTGTGTGTGTGTGTGTGTGTGTGTGTGTTGAAAGAGCTTCATGTCAGGTGGATAGTGGATAGGTGAATTATGGTTGTATTGGAAGATTTTGAACTATAATTTAGTGTGAAGTTCATTCACTGATTAAGGGAAACAATAGAACTACTGTTGTTAGGTTTTAAGTGTGTTATAAATTTATAATGCCACTTATGTATTGTAATCTAATGTCTGTTTAAATAAACCAAGTCTGTTATAATCATAGGTGCTGTTCAAAGGGATAATGATAGAATTTGAAGCAAAGTGCTGTCTAATGGGGAGCAGCATACTGTAGTGGTATAAGAAAATGGAAAAAAAAAATAAAAAAATAAAAAACAATACATTTGTTGGGGTTTACAATTAGACATTTCTTCTCTCACTAGGTACAAATGATCATTGAATAATACTTTATTGATGTAACTATATATTGTCCCAGTGGATGGTTAATGTCTGGAGATTTGTGGGTTTCAGACATACTAAAAAAAGGGATTTGTGGATTGGATTATTTTTATACTTGGAATCTATTTAAGAACACATAATTTCAGCAATATTGTGCACATTGATTTACAATTATAATTTCAACATTTTTAATGATCTATACTTTTTGTCACTTATATGTGGTCTATGGTTTGAATTTATTGTTTTTTGAAGTACACAAAATAATGAGCTCTTCAAGTTCAACAAGGACAAGGAGAGAAGCCGGTGTTTTTTGTTTCTGTGGCAAAGTGGCTCGATTACAAACTTCATGGACCCCTGCCAACCCAGGTAGGAGGTACGTGGATTGTAGCGAAAATGGTTGTACGTTTTGGAATTGGTTTGACCCTCCTATGTGTGCAAGATCAAAAGAAATAATTCCCGGTTTGTTGCGTAAGGTAAACCGGTTAGAAGCGGAAACAAGTCGTCAGAACGTCGAATGTGCAAGTGAACTACAAGAGAAGGAGACGTACAAAAAAAAGTTGAAGAAACTGGAAAAAGATATTGCTCAATTGAAGAAGAAGAATAGATTTTTATTCATTTTATTTGTAATCTCAATTGCGTGGATGTATATCATGAAATAAGTACATTGCATGTGACTTTGTTGTATGTCCTTTAATGTGGAACAACAATTTGTAACGCAACTGTGTCTTTAATTAATATTTTGTTTCTTTGTCGTATTTTTTTTATTATTTTTTGATGTAAATAGCTGTCACAAGATTCTTGCATGTGACTAAACAGTAATTTTTTTGTTGCTTTGCAATAATGTTGATGCACAAAAGAGTGTATGAATTGACCATTCAACTGCTGAACATGGTCAAAAGATTCAAAATTGAATTAACGT